CCCAAACTAATAAATGTTTGCAGCTAACCCTGTCCTCCTCCTGACTCTGCCCCCCATATCAGAGTTTTGGGGCACCCTCGAGCTCCCACATGCCGAGGGCAGCTGGGAGAGGAGCTGCCTGAGGGGCTGGGGAGGGTGGGAGGGTGTTAGGGGTGGGATAGTCCTGTCCAGCACTGCAGACCTCAGCGAGGGGCCCCATGGGGACATCTCCAGCATCTGGCCTTGCACTGAGCGTTACAATTATTACCCACTATATTATTATACACCTTTTGCTGGTGGCAGCAGTAGCGCTGCCTGTGTTGCCTCCTGCTCCTGGTGGTTCCCAGTCCCTGTTCCCACCCCCATGCAGTGACTGTTAGACCCAACCCTCACACCATCATTTCCACACCAAGAAGCATCAGAATACTCCTTCACTGACCCCAGTGTGGGAAAAACATAAGCCCAGACACCATTTCCAAGTGTTAACCATTTATAAATAAGTACATTTTTTCATACATACAGTTTTCATTGTACAGATTACAATCTGTATACATTGGGGAGGGGAATGCATTCTTTTGAACTTTTCACATCTATCTCACAGCTCACATGTACAGACAAGAAAACTCTGCTCAAGCAAATACAGCAAAGGAAAAAATATGTTTTCTTCTTTCCTTAGAGATGAGAGGCAAAGGCCTCTGCTGTTGGCAGGGGCTGCTCTTCCCACTGCACAATATCACAACTGTGTGGTGTTCAATATATCAGAGAGAACAGAACATGCATTGGATAATATACTGTACAGAGAGAAAGTCCTTTACATCAGAATTATAGAAAAGCTAAAGGAAAATTTAAGTGTCTTAAAGATCTTCCCAGCAAGTGTCTCAGAGGATGGCAACCGGGGAGTTGTACAAAGCACAAGGTGGGTGTAGTGGACATGTTTGTACCCAACTCAGATCCTCTCGGATGTGGAGACAGAAAGGAGATGGAACGCTGAATGCAACACTATGGCAAAGAAAAGGCTGGACAGGGACGAGCCCGGCAGCACTGGCAGAGTCCACGGGAGTCTCTGGGTTGTGGGTGTAGCAACACAGTGAACTTCATGTAGCACACAGGGCTGCTCTCAGTGGCTGGCAGAGTAGTGCACAGCAAGGCAGACCTGTGGGGACCCAGCTCTATGGGGCACGAGGCTTTCCCACCTACCCATCCCTACTGTGACTTGCCTCCCCACCACCATCCCTGGACAGCATCACCCCGAGGGACAAAGTCTTTTGGCAAGGCAGCCGTCTGTTTTCACAACAACAGGATGTGATCCCATCAGATGGGACCTGGCTGCTGACTCCCCAGCACGGTGACAGCTAGAAAATGAGCAGGAGGAGGAAGGATACGTGGTGGGCTGGGTGTCTGGTGGCTTTCCCCATGATGGCTGCGCTCGCTGTGACCTCTTGGGTCGCTCTGTACCAGCTGTGGTGACATCCAGCTGTATAGTCAAGAGTTGGACACGAACGCATCTTGCTAAATAATTGAGCCCTTAGTGGTTTATATTAGAAAAAAGAGTTTGATTGAATGAAAATCCAGCAATTATTCACACAAAGCTGAAAAAAATGCAGATTCACTTTCAACCATTGTGCTTTGTGTCCAACACACCCCCACCAGGCTGCGCAGTGCAGCCGGCACGGGGTGAAGGCATTGATTTGCAGAGGTCCCAGCAGGTACAGCAGCTCTCTCCCTCAGCCCTTGAGCAACCCCTGATAACCCGGTAGAGGAGTTACCTTGAATTCCCAAGAGCACAGCAAAGTCCAACCAGCAAGGAGCTCACGGCAGCTCACTCGGGACCCCCGCAGGCGAGGAAGGCGGAGGGCGAGCAGGCACGCTGGCTTGCTTGGTTCTCTAGATAAGGCAGAGCTGGCACTTCGGTTTTAGCTAGACTTCTCCTGGGCAACCCTGAATATACAGCAGCCTTTGTAAAGGAGACTGAATCGCTCCCAGTTTCCTACCCACCCTGGTTCCAGAGCTAATCCCAGCATGACTCTGGTGTTTGGCATATGCACGCTCACATGTTCACACCAGCCACACGTTTTTCTTCACAGCCAGGTTAAAGAAAAATAACCAAAAAGTTCAGTGCTCGGACAGACTCAGCTGGGCACTGGTGCCACAGCAGACAGACAGATGGACAGACACATGTCTCAGATTGTTGGAGCCATCACAGTCCTCCCAGTGACACAGAGAAGGCAGCCCAGGCCTTGCCTTCTCTGGAGATGGATCTCAAAGGATCTGTCTTTGTAAAAACCTCCTTTTCCTAAGCACTTTGATGCCCACTCAAGACTATGTCCAGAGCCCTCTGATGCGACTCCCAGCCTGGCTGGGGGGACCCTGCAGAGCCCCCCACCATGTGGGTGTCCCCTTCCCTGGGACCACAGCATCCTCCTGACCTGGGAGAAGAGCAAGAGCCAATGAACCCCCACTGAGGGATGGGGCAGACACCCACACCTGATGCTCGCAGAGAAGATTCCAGCTCTGCAGCAGCACACCTGGGCCTCAGAGCAGCCACAGGTGAAGAGGAGAGACACCTGGTGGGAAGGTTGGCTAAAGAAAGGGGCCAGCTTCAGCATCGCTTTTGGCATTGCCTTCCCCATGCACCCGAAGAATGAAAACTGGAGTTTCAATGTCATCAAGAACCTGCTTTACCCAGTAAATCCTGCTTGCTCCAAGGTGGGGCTTGCCAGTGGTACCACTGCAGCTGGGAGGGCATGAAGACACCAGCTGGCAGCATTGTCCTGCATCTTAATTACTCAAAAAGTAATTAAACACATAGCACAGATGTACAGGACAGCTCAATGTCTGAAACTGAGTGTGATCCCACGGTGTGGCCTGGGCTTATCAAACTTAGATCTGAGAGTAGAGGATGAAGGACCCTCGGGGTGAGATCTGACCTTGTGCTCCCCCCAGCACACTGGGGCCATGCCAGCACAACACAGAATGACCTCTGCTTCTCCTCGTGCAAAGACCAAATCGTGACTTTGAAGACATAGGGGACTGAGCAAGAATGAGCTTTTCCAGGAAGAAATGTGCTTCTTACCCACCCAGTGACCACAGCAGCCATCCTGCCTCGACTGTTCCTAAGAGAATTGCTGGGGAAGTGCTTTAAAACCACTGCAAATATTTTTGTATTCAAAAATTACTCAATCTGTTGATGCTTATATACAGGAGTCAGTCCTTGTGCTATAAATGTTATGATTCATTGCTTCGTTTTGTTTCTTTTCTCTTTTTTTTTTTTTTGAAAAATACACTAAGAGACATGAGCTGTTTTGCTATTTTTCTAATGAAGACACTACTCACGCTTAAATATCCAGTATTTATCATAGTAACAAATTCAAACAGTAAAGTGCACCCATTTACAGAGAGAACAGATGGAAAAGCATTAGTGCAAGAATCCTGTGGAAAATGTAACACGTGGAACCGTGGAAAAACCTGCATGCTGCAGTGTTTCAAGCTATCTTCAGCTTTGTGGTTGTGTTAAAAGCATGAGCTGTTTTCTGTTTCCCTTAAAAGATCTCCAGAAATTGCAAAGTTACTCACAGGAGTGCTGTGGGGGGTGTTTGGAAGGACTGGACTGGGAGCACAAGGCAGTGAGTGGCGAAAGCCAAGCAGGGGCAGCTCTCCTGTCACTGCTCCTGGCCCACCCTGCTGGCGTGGCAGTGCAGAGGAGCACCCGGGTAAAACGGGGACAGGAATGAACTGGGTTACTTCTTCCTTTCCAAGAAGCAACTAAAGATAGGAAGCCACTCACTCAGGCAGAAAGCTGGAGGATAGGAGGCACTAAGCAAAGTGACTGATGCTGCTCCAGACCCAGGATACGTCTCCCAGGTATGGGCGTGTGGGATGCAGAGGAGAAATTGGTTATTCCTTACAATACAGAGCATATTATTTTAAAAATGAGATGAAGAAAGAAAACCATCACACCCCTTCTGCCAAGAGAGAAACCAAGCACAGAGCTGGGTGTCCCCATGGGGTACCCGCCCCCTTGAAGGGGTCCCAGCCAGCCCCCCATTTTACAGAGCCCTGGGATAAAGCAAAGAGTCACCACTGGGTTGCACCCCAAGGAAGAAAACACTGACCTCAATCCAAATACTGGCTTTGACAAAGACCAAATGGCCCAAGAGAGCCCCAAAATTGCCACAAGTCATAGAGGAACCCCCCCCTTCCAAATGCTCTCCATGAGACACAAGCCTCCCCTGGCCCAAGGTGTGCATGTCCCAGCTTGCTCTGAGCAAATTAGGCAATGGAATAGCAATGACATGTGCTGAGCCACACAGAGGGGAAAAAGAAAAGCCCCATCGAAGCCAGGGTTTGCTTAAGGAGTTCCAGACCCTGTCCTGAGCTGGTGTGAATGGGTGCAGCTGCAGTGCTGTGGCGCTGGGATATGCTCACTCACACCATGGAGGTTGGAGCCCATGATTTGGTTCAAGAAGTCTTGCAATCGATTGGCAGTAGCCCTTTGGAGGTATCACTCCCCTGCTCAGCACTGGATCGCTCCCAAGAGTTGATATGAGTGAGGTTTGGCATTGGGCAACAGGCACTAGTTTGCTTTAAAACAAGCTACAGCATTATCACTGCCTCCCATCATCCCACCCTTCACCCTCAGAACAGAAAAGGCAGATTATAAACCCACCAGGAACAAAGGAATCCATAAAGGACGTTCTTCTCCCCACCTCAAAAGAAATTTTCAGCAAATAATTGAAAAATTATTGAAAATCCTATAAAAAGGATTTTGGAACCGGCCCTTGCTTTTCACGTTGTCTTGATGTGACTTGCATTTGATTACAAAACCAAAAATAATAGAGAAAAACCAACCCAAACTGGAAAATGTCCTGAAATAGATAACATAAATAAATTATAAATAGGTCTCTCTTAACTACAGCTTCTCAAAAAGCAACACATGGTCTCTACCATGTACAGATATGGAACATGGTGTCCCTTCCCAGGATTTTGGGAACAGAGGACCTTGGAGGAGCATAGCCCTTGCTACAGCCTCTGCTCCCTGACAGAACTGAGCCAGAGGGAAGGGATGCTGCAGGGCTGCGATGGCAGAAAGACCCTTCCTCTTTTGGAACCATCATGCCATGCTCTACATCCTCATCATAAGAAAATGTAAAAAAAAAATTTAGAATTGCAATTTTGCGCTTTGAATACCAAATTTTTGCTCTTCCTTGCAAGTGATAAATCCCCCTCAGATGAGGTCCCCAACACTAACCTGCCCCATGCAAATGCTGAGGGTGAGGTGCAGTCTGCCAACACTGTGAAGAAGTTAGGGCAATCCCAGCTCATGCACAAGAGGCTCCTGGCCAATTTCCTTGGCTGACTAAAACACATAACAAAGGGGCAACCTGAAAACCTCAATGCTTGTAAAATGCCCCAGAGCAAAGAAATCAGTGTGAGAGCAGCTGGTAGGTACTTGGAAAGCAGCAAAGTGCTGTGTGATCCCCACCCCTTCTGGCCAATGACAAGTTAAATAAGGAAGGAAAGCTGTAAACCAGCAGAATCAGGATGGGTATTGTGGGTGCTGTGCATAGCTACTGCTGTTACATCACATCACTGGGGGTAATCTGCTCTTTGAGGCAAAGAGCCAAACAACCTGGCTGGCACAAGGACCTGTGGATGCAGCCTTGGGAAAGGCTCCTGTGGAATTCCCTAGGAATTCCCATCAGAGTTGAGTAAGAGATCACTGTGACAAAAGAAACCAATTTAAATCCAAGGCAATTGTCTCTTGAAAAAGAGCTCGTTACCTCCTGCTGCGTAGGGATATCTCTGGACCTCCCCACACCATGGACTAAGATATCTTGGTTGGACCTTTGCTGGAATTGGGCAAACGATACTGGCTCGGCTGATGTTGGCTTCACAGTCAGCTGGGGAACAAAAGGGCTGGAGCACGTGCACGGCTGTCTGACCACCACATAAAGTACCGGAGAAACTTGATCATGTAGCTATCAAAGAGAAATAAAAATAATAATAGTAATAATAATAATAATAATAATAATTATAATAGTATGCATGGAAATCAAGCCTGGAAGTGTGTGCTGAAAACATGAGGGTCTCACTCCAACAAGTGTCTTTTACACATTAGACTCCACAAATGGTCTCTTTGGTTTGATTGGGGACGTCTGCCCTTGCCTGGAGTCCCTGGAGAGCTGCCTGTACAGGTTATCCTGGTAGGCCTGTGCCACGGGCAGCGTCCTTGCCACCTTGACGTCGGGGTACGAGGAGGCTTGGGTGACTCTCTCCAGGAGGTCTCCCCGGGACCCATTGGCCAGCATCCCATGGGGGCTGTAATAGTCTTCCTCTAGCAAATGGCCATTCTGTGCATTGTTGGTTTTGTTATAAAAGGCAATGTTGCTGATTGAAGAGGGTGGGCTAAAGGATTCCGGCTGGGGCAGATTGCCAGGAGACGTAGGACTAATGACAGTGTCCACTGACGACACAGCCCAGGTCCGGTTCTGCTGATGGAGGTGGGGGTACTGCTGAGTCCGAGCAGTTTTATCTATGATTCCCATGAACGGCGTGGTCCGGGAGCGGGCTGGCTCGCTGGGGTAGCCCCCCTGCGTGGGCGACACCGGGGACAGCTCATCACACGATCGGTCATAGGCTGGCTTGAGGGGAATCTCCATTTGCTGAATCGAAGCAGAGGGGCGGAAGTTGGGAGTCAGGTTGGACGTGGAGGAGATGCTATTGCTGGACGGGGAGAAGCGGAGGCCAACGCTCTGAGAGTGGAGTAGAGGCCTTGGAGTCGGTGGGTGAGGCTTAATTTCACTGGGATTGACTGTGATGGGCCTCCTTATGAGGTGAGACACATCCGGAGAGCCCAGCTGGTTGGCGGGGAGGGAAGAACGCTCCAGGTCAAGCTTCGAGTGGCACACCGGGTAGTAGGAGGCGGACTGGCTTCGCCCAATCTGAGGAGTCTGGCTGTACCTCACGCCCCCCCTGTACGCTGAGGATGGTCTCTGGGGAAGGTCTTCTTTGGCCAGCCCCCCGTGCTGACAGATGGCTCCGGCGCTGAGACTCGCCTGCACGTGCTGCACGGGCCTGCTGTCACCCACGATGCCCCCGATGGAGCCCTGGTACACCAGCCGGCTCTGGCTGACCCCCATGTCCCCTGATGATGACTGGTACTTGCTGGCCATCGAGTGGGCAACCTGGCTGTACGCACCAGTCGGGATGACAGTGCTGGAATGGACGGCAGAGCTGGGCTGATTGCTCCTCACGATCTGTGCCTTGGCTGGCTGCAGCCTCAGCCCTGGCTGCGGCACGGCCACGGGGAGCTGGGGCATCTGGAAGGATCTCTGCGTCATCTTGGACAGCGGAGACTTGGGTCTGCCGGGGAGCTGGGTGACCCCGCTGGGCTCCTGCTGGTAACGGACCGGGGAGCCGGACTGGGACCTGTAAACGCTCATGCTGTCTGCGGGGGGACTGGCGCGGTACTGGGGGCCTCTGCGAAGGGGAGACGGCGGTGGGCTCTGATACTCCTTCCCCTGGCTCCCCACCGGAGGGGGGCTGAAGCGGTAAGTGGAGCCCTGGTGAGCTGGGGATGTGTGTGGAGGACTGGGTCTGTAATGTGAGTTTTGGTGTGTCGGAGACAGAGCAGGGGATGTGGACTGGTACCCCTGCCTGGTTGGTGAACCCACAGAGCTGTTGGACCTGAAATCGAAGACCTGATGAGAGCCAAGAGGTGAGCCGGAAATATAGGCTGAGTCCCTGTGAGCTGGAGATGGGGGTGGGCTCTGGATGATGGGCAGCCCTTGGTTTGGCCTGGATTCTGTCTGCAAGCCAATGGAAACATTTTCTACGTCCTGCTCGAGGTATTCCTCCTCAAAGATATCTTGCACAGAATACAGCTCTTCATGCTGGGCTTCGGGTTCTGGCTCTGCTGGGAGTGGTGGTGGTGGTGGCTGCTGTTGCTGCTGCTGCTGCTGCTGCTGCTGCTGCTGCTGTTGCTGCTGCTGCTGCTGCTGCACCTGCCTGCACTCCTCCTCCACCCGCATCAGCAGCCGCTGGATCTCACGGTTGTTAGGACACAGCTTGATGGCCTCGTTCAGGTCCTCCAGGGCTGCTGAAAACTGCCTGCTTGACAAAGGAACAGAAATGAGAACTGAAAGTACTCTAGATTTGGATGGAACTGTTTTCAGAGATTCCAGGGGAATAAAGTGGCTTGTGCGTGTCACTGAAGGAGAGATCCGTGATTGCGACAGCTTGCTGCACCTCTCACATGCTGCCTCATGGGCCTCCCTTGGATTTATATTATCCAAACAGAGGGAAAATTCTGGAGAAGAAGGGAACGCAGTCCTGAGATGGCACAAGCCAAACTAGCAAACACGCTTGCCTCTGCAGCTTACGTTAGGGGCTAATTAATTACTCCCCTAGCATCACCACGAGGGTCACCTCTGTTTTAGCGAAGGGGACACCAACACATTGATCACTGCAAGCCCAGCTCACCACTGCTGTAAACAAACTCACACAGCTACAACCACTTACGCCAGTGAAAATGTAACTTCTGCCTGATGCCAAGACCACCCAGCGTCAGGCCTGGCTCCAGAGCTCAGGGGCTCCCACAGGTCAGCGCTCTGGGCAAGGCTGGTCTCTCCCGTTTTGCTGTGGATTTGGCTAACTTCTTTGGAATGAAGCACTCAAGTGATGTGCCAGAGGCTGTGAGCCCAGGGGAGCCTTTGTGAGGGAAAGGCCAGCCTAGGGAGGTGGGGGTTTGGGAAGGGGGTTGTCATTTACAGGGACACTGTTCACTCGGGAGCAAAACTCCAGGTTTGAACACGACTGTGATGTGGGAAAATGCACCCAGATGGCGGGAAGGCTCCTATCTGTGATCCCCCCCAGCGCCAACTTAATCTTTTGCACAAGTGGAATAAGGAATGGCCTCCTCTTCTACCAGCCGTGAGCCCTCTGTCCCTCCTCACCTGCTGCTGCGTTTGGCCCTCGCTCTTGCATAGTAAGCTTCGTACGATTTCGGTTTCAGCTCCAGTGCTTTAGTGGCAAATTCCTCTGCCATTCCAAAATCCTGCATTTGAATAGGTATGCAGGTAAGTAACTGAATACATTTAGAAATAAAAATACATACAGCATGGGAAGAAAACAAACTTAGTGTGGACTTTTTTTTTTTCATATTGCATGGAAAACTTAATGGTATTGGAGTATTTTGCATAGATTCAACACCATTTACAGACAGGGAGCTATGATGGCATATTAATCCCACTGTTCCTCACTTCTCCATGACAGCTCTCCTGGGAGGGTAGTCTGGGAGCAGGGCAGGGTGACAGTGGGAGGGGACTGCTCTGGGTGCTTTCCAGGGGCAGTGCCAGGAGACCAGGTTATCAGGACTGGCTCAGGACCTGTCACTACCCTCCCTTGCCTGGTTCTGAATGCTTCATGTCCTGCTAAGCTCAGCTGAAGCTCAGCACTTGTGAAGGAGAACTCTTCCTCATGGGGAGGATTCCATTCCACAGCCAGACACTGTTTGGGATTGCTGCACTGCTCTATGTCCTGAGCAGCCCTGGGAGAAAGGACTGAATAGTGCTGCTCCTGACTGGTTCAAAAACTTGTGAAGCCAGCTCTTGCTACGAGCGTGCCCTGCCTGGGGAACCTTATTCTTCTGTTTGTACCTGCAGTAGCCATTACTGAGGAGTTACTGGCCAACAAACTGAACTGGGAATGCAGTCATGAGACAGATACCTTTATGGTCTCATCTATAGGTGCAAAAACTGCAGGAGCAATTACAACGCTCTGAAATTTTCTATCTGGCATTTCCCAGTTAATTATAAGCCAAAAATCTTGTCCTCAAAGCAGGACAAGACCTGGAGTTGATAAGCTGTGAATTGGCTGATTTACAGAGAAGGTTCACGCTTTTTCTTCAAATTGTGTTTGTTCACCAGCAATAAGATTTTACTCCCCTTGTTTTCCATCTTTCTTCCTAGAAAGATAAATGAAGGTATCTCAAAGTTCCTTCCCCTCCAGTGTAACCTTTGCTCGCTTATGACCTCAGCAATGTTGGTTTTTGAGTTTATGGAGACTTTAATTTGTGGAAGTGAAAGCACCTCCACTGCAAGCCAGGGAAGGCTGGCAGAACAGGCATCTGTACGAGCTGGTTGCTGGATGATGCCAGATTGCAGTGGGGAGAGTGACAGGGATCTGGAAGTTCTGGGACAAGAAGGAGTCTTGTGGAGGTGTTTCTGGATGAGTCACTGCCCTGGGGAAGTGCTAACCCCCTAAGCATATGCTCCTTCATTTGAAATTAATTAGTATTCAAAGGAGCACATCTCCTGGCTCCTCCTCACTGCTGCCCCAGAAATCTGGAAAATGCCTCCACCCCCATGTGACGATATGAACATCATCATCAAAAGGGAGTAATAAAAAGTTCAAAGAGCTATAAACATAGCAATGAATTTTTAATCATTTGGAACGCATACTAAATCACTACTGCTTTGGAATTAAGAAATGTCAGTGCTCTGTGAAGGACAACCAGGTCACAGAGAGGAGAGATCTGAGAGGCCAAAGCACGGCTGGGGGGGGGACGAGTCTCTGCAGAGGCACAGAGCTGTTGGGCTGTGCTCAAGCCCCTGAAAAGAGGGGACACTTACATTCATTTTCCTTCGACACCGGGAGAGGTTGAGGAGCAGCGACACCTTCAGCTCACGGAAGGTTTTCAGGTCTTCTCCAAACCCTTCTCTGGGGAATTTTTTCAGAGCATACTGATAGCGCTGGGCAGCCTCCTTCACTTTACCTTTCTATTAGAAGGAAAACACATCAAAAACCATCCTTGGGTTGAGTTTACTTCCCTGCAGAGAATTCACTCACCAGCCCCAGCAATGTTTTAGGTGACTAAGGAAGCACAACTTCACTACTTAGCTCTTTCCCAGAAAGGAAGGGCAGAACATTTGATCAAGGGAACATCTGAGCTGGAAAGGCAGATGCCTTGTGCAAGTCGAGATCTCCCACTTCATACAGAGCTGTCACACCAAGCAGGAAATGTGGAGAAATGGTGTTAACTCAATACAACTCCATCTGGTTCTTGGCTGGATGGTCTTTTGAGCTGGGTGATCATCTACCCATTCCTGGAAAAACCCTCCACCCAAAGCTTAATACACATCCAGGAGGGTAAAGAGCACAAACTGTGGGGCTTTGGGTGCAGCTCTGAGAAGCCTCTGCAATAGCAAAGGTAAATGTTATGGCATTGCTGTGGCTCTGAACTTGGACAAACAGGGTGAGATTCACCTCCCTGGACTACAGATGTTTAAAACTCTACATCTAAATCTCTTAACTGAGTTCCATTTATAATTACTGGTATGCAACAGTCACCTTCAAAGGTGACTCATCTCTGCTATTTTGGGCAACTAATTTTGGGATGGGACAATGTGCACCCTGAAGGGGGGCAGCTGGCAGGCAGGGTGAGAGAAAGAGGGCAGGATGAGATCTAGGTCACACACAGTTCCTTATGACCCAGACATAAATTTTACAGCTACAAATAGCGAGTTTTAAAAAGTTGTAGACTCAGGTTTTTCAGCTGTATCATGTATCTCTGGCAGGTAATTTCTATTACAATGCCAGCTTTGCATATTTTCTGCTTCACCCTTAGAGCCTCACAGTGAATCATTGTTGTACTTGCACAATTTCTATGTGTGTGCAAATCCCCAGGTTTTAAAGATCGACTTAAAACAAACACAGAGCAAAAAAAGACTCCCTAACTGTAACAGTGGAATATAGCCCCCATGGGCTAAAGGACATGACAAAGCCAGCTGTGTCCTGACAATCTATTTTCATTGCAAGAAGTTTATTCCAGGAGTTTTTCTGGGGTATTCCATCCCATTGCCTTGATTCCCAACAGTGAGCCCACTAGGTAATGACAAGGCTGCCAGACTTGATGCAATGGCAGCAGCACTCCCAACAAACACTTAGGTCCTGCTGTTTCAAAGAGGAAATGAAATGCTGGCTCCAATCCAGAGCAACTTGGCTTTGCTTCAGCTTCGTTACAGATTTAGGCAATCGACCCCCTCTTCTCCAACCCCACTAAGCAAAACCAAATGGTTTGGAGCACAGGGAATGCTGTGAGCAGGAGCTTTTACTTGCCATGGGTTAAGGCAGCAGCATTAGAATCACAGAATCGTTTAGGCTGGGAGAACCAACCACTGACCCAACACAGCCAAAACCTCACACCAAGGGATGCTGCAAGCTGCATCTGTTCCACGTTCCAAACCCACCCTTCTCACCTTATAAAACATGTCTCCCTCCTCCATCAGCTTGCTCAACAGGATGATCATGATGTCTGGTTTGGAGGTTGCCATTGCCCAAGTTGCTGGACCTGTAGTGTACAGGATGCATGATGGGTAAAGAACTCATACAATGCAAGGGTGGTAGGAAGCTGGGTGGAAAAAAATACCCTGGGGTGGGAATTTCTGCTGGAGAGAACAACTTGGCATGGTCAAAGGGCAGAGTGTTCCAAAGGATTGAGCTGACAATTCCTCTGACACCTAAATTAATGTCATCCCCATCTGCAATGGTTTTCCCTTGCAATTATTAAGGCTAATCCCAATGGTCTGGGAAAGGATGGAGCTGTTTCCACAAGAGGGCAGTGCTGAATGTGGAACAGGCTGGCATGGGGGAAACAAACTGTATTTAAAGGAAAAATCAGAGTGGTTACATAAAAGCCATTGATTTCTAAACTGAAATCTATGGAAATGTACTAGGGAATCTGCACTTTGGTAGGTCGTTTGTGGTTAAGTGGATTGTGATTTCCAGCTTCACAAGATGTGAAAGACTAGAGCAGAAAATCCAGTAAGGCAGAAAAAATGACAAGGGAAAGGTCCTATATAAGTGCTGCTGGTGCCGAAGGCATCATTGGGCTGGGGACACTGACTCTGCACAGGGGCCACCCTGCAGAGCCAGCTCGTATCTCAAGGACTAATACTGGGAGGGAAGGGGTGGCAAAAATTTGAGGACAGCTCATTAGTGTGGGTGAAGAATAAGTCAACAATATTCTATAAGTAGATTCAGTACGTTTTGGGGGAAGGAGGTTAGTTTTTGAGTTCAAGTTATTCTCTGCAACAGTCATTAAAAAATTATTTGAAGGTGAGATAAATTAAAAGATTAGAGGTGTTGGGGACGCATGCAGGCTAAATCAAACAGGAGAAAGCAAGGCTGACAAAGCTATCAGATCGAAGCTGATGCTGACAGCAATGAGATATACCTCGTGGGCGACTCGGTAACGTCTGACAACCTTCAAAGAAAGGAGAAAACAAGAAGTTGTAGGAGAGAGGGGGAAAAAAATGGATGAAGGTGAAAAAAAAAAAAAAGAAAGGAAAAAAGCAGCTGTGAGAGGCAGGCAGCAAGGAAGCCAATGCACCAGCAAAATCCCCTTTCACAGGAAAACGTAACGTGAGCAGCTGTGTGGCGCAGTGCAGGTACACTGAGGTCTGGAAGCATACACAGAGCAAGTGAACGCAGCAGCTCACAGCAAGGCATGGACAGAGTACACTTGGCAACTCAGACTGGTAAAGATAGAAAAAGCATTACCAGAGGAAAGACCTTGCTAAAGAAACAGTTGTTTATTGATTAACTTCTGCTAAGTAATACGACAGGAAAAAAAATGAACTCCCCGTTTTACTAAAGAGAACCAAGTGGTCCTGACTTGCCATCTGCTTCCGGAGTGTGAAGCAGCGGCTGGGGCTGAGGCTGCCTCTGGGTTATACTTGTATTTTTTAGGATGCCAGCCCCACTGCTTGAGTCCTGCCTGAGCACAGAGCTGATGGCAGTGTCCCCCTGTTCCTACCTATCTTTGCTCCTTTCTTCAGCAGGGTGACGACAACCGAGGTGTTGCGGCAGCCCACTGCTCTGTCGAGGGGCCGCATCCCACTGTAGTCAACGTGCTCGATCATGGCCCCATGGTCCACCAGGAACTGAACCTGCAGTGAGAAGCCCAATAGTCACTCCTGGTCCTGGGTGAGACCCCCACACACTGCTGGGGATGAAGGATTAGCAGAAGCTAGCCCTTCTCCACTGCCTGGACTAAGAGCACCTCCATGGGGTCCGAGGGTACACGGTGGGCAGCAGGTCGATGGAGGGGATTCTGTCCCTCTACTCCATTCTGGTCTCTGGAGACTCTGGAGAGCTGTATCCAGCCCTGGGGCCCCAAGCACAGGAAGGACATCGACCTGTTGTAGCAGGTCCAGAGAAGGCCATGGAGATGCTCCAAAGGCTAGAGCACTTCTGTTTTGGAGGCTGGGAGAATTGGAATTGTTCAGCCTGGAAAGGGCAAGGCTCCAGGAATACCTCAGAACCCCTTCCAGTGCCTAAAGGGGCTCTAAAAAAGATGGAGAGGGATTTTGGACAAGGGCCTCGAACGATAGAATAAGAGAGAATGGCTTTAAATTGAAAAAAAAAGTAGGTTTTGACTAGATATTAGGAAGAAATCCTTCCCTGCAGTGGTGGTGAGGCCCTGGCACAGGGTGCCCAGAGAAGCTGGGGCTGCCCCATCCCTTGAAGTGTTCAAGGCCAGGATGGACAGGGCTCGGAGCATCCTGGGGTAGTGGAAAGTGTCCCTGCCCATGGCACAGGGTGGAACGAGATGGTCCTTAAGTTCCCTTCCAACTCAAACCATTCTGGGATTCTCTGATCTGCTTCTGTGGAAGCACCTTCCCATACAGAGGGCCAGGACTCCACGTGGTTATGGCTACACCACTGCTACATCAAGAACCGCAGGGACTGATGGCTTTGACGCCAGGTGCCCGTTTTCTGTGGGTGCAGCACAGGCCACTCACCACCTCAGCGTCGCCGTAGAACGCCGCCAGGTCCAGCGGCGTGCGGCCGTTCTTGTCCGCGTGGTCCGTGGCCGCTCCGTTCTCCACCAGGGAACGCACCACGGGCAGGTGGCCCTTCAGGCAGGCCCAGCTCAGGGCTGTCAAGCCCTCTTTGTCCATCAGAGAAATCGAGGCACCTGAAAGAACAAGCAGCAGTTGACTCCAGAGCTCTCCGCTGTTCAGCACTGCTTACCACAAACCCTCTGCTCAGCAATGACAGCTTGTTTTCCCAGCGCTTTGTGCACAATTATTAATTCCTTTATTAATGTTTCTCCCACCACAGATCCCACCCTCTGTGGCAACTTCAAATACACTGATGGGAACTGTGGCAAACGAGTTGATTCACACCAAGCTGCAAACTTTTCCACGCCCACCTCTGAGGGCTTTCCTGGCAAACATCTGAGCAGCACGGTGGATCTGATTTTCCTCATCTGAGACATCTTTTTAACCGCTTTTTTTTTTTTTATTTAATCCAACCCCATTCCAGCCTGAGTCAGAGATGAAGATAATTTTGCTGTTTCAGCAGGTCACCATGGGGAATTAAGTCAATTCAGCTCAGTTCTCCTAAAAAAGCACATATTTTCCCTTCTTCACTCCCCTCCCCTTTACCCAAAAGTACACAATTTCCAGCAGTATTCCTCCCTGAACTTTACCCAATATAAATACAACGTTGTGGGATACACTGCTGCCAACTGCAAGCCAAGGAGAGGGGGACTTGACGTTTTCTTGGATGAGGAAATGGCGCTGCCATACCAACGGGTCAGTGTTGCTCCACACAGCATATGGATACAGATATGAGAGCTGAACAGCAGCTCTCAGTGAACACTCCTCTTCATAGCATGCAGAAAACTCCCGTTGCCATGGCACAGCCATGGCTCTGGCTCTGGAGTGTGCAGAGATGATCTGCAGCAGCTCTGCTCCTCCGAGGAGCTGCAGCTACCTGCGAGATGCTCCTGCCAGCAGCTGGGATGAATTACTGCTGCAGTGCTTTTCTCCTGGAGGCAAACTCTAAACCTCCCAGCATGAGATTCCCTGACTCTAGAATGTTCAGCAAATGTGGGAGTGATGTGAATGTCCTAAACGTTCCTGTTCATCCCAGCTGACACATGCCTGGTCTGCACAGGCTGTCCAGCTGAGAGCAGACTAAGAGGTCTCCCTGCTGGCACAAGCTATTTGTGGAGGAGTACAGCAGGGGAATGTTTGCTCCAGGTGTGTTCAGAAACTTCCAGTCAGAGCTCTCAACACAGCATGGAGTGTCAGTGGGGGAGGAGGCAAACGGCATCTGGGACAATCAGGAATGCCAGGGTGGACATGGGCTAAAAGGTACAGGCTCAGGGATGACAAAGCAGAATCACAGGCTGGAAATCACAGGTTGGCATCTAGGTTGGAAAAGATCTTTTAATAACATTGATTCCAACTCCTCCCCCAGCACTACCAAGTCCTCCACTAATCATGTCTCCAAGTGCCACATCTTTAAATCTTTTAAATCTCTCCGGGGATGGAGATTCCACAACTGCCCTCAGCAGCCTATGCCAAGGCTGAATAACCCTTTCAGTGAAGAAATTTTCCATCCCCTAGACCTGCCCTAGGGCAACTCGAGGCTGTTTCTTCTAGTCCCTTGTTCCTTAGGAGCAGAGCCTGACCTCCACCTGTCTGCCCCCTCCTGTCAGGGAGTTGTGCAGAGCCAGCAGGTCCCCCTGAGCCTCCTTTTCTCCAGGCTGAGCCCCTTTTCCAGCTCCCTCAATCACTCATTGTGCTCCAGACCCCTCCCCAGCTGTTTTCTTCTTTGGCTCCAAAGGCATCCTTCAGGCCTCTCTGACCTATTGAGGCAGTCAGACAGGAAACAAATGGAATGTGGGCTGTACCACAGCTGGTCCCCAACAGCTCCCAGCTCGTGCTCTGACCTTGTGCAAGCAGGAACTCCACAGTGCCCAGGTGTCCCTCGGACGCTGCCATCATCAGCGGCGTCCTGCCCTGCTTGTCTGCCATGTTCACATCGGCGCCGTGCGTGAGCAGGAGATCCACGATCTGCAACAGACACAGCCAGGACACAGCTGACACACGGAGCCACAGCTAAGAACATGCCAGAGCCAAGGAAGAGCAGAGCAGACCCCACATTCTAAAAACTCCCACCCTCTGGGAGACCTCTGGGATTGCTGAGCGGATGACTAAGGATTATAAAAAGGGAGGTATAAGGACAGGAAAAATGTTCTTGTAAGTCGTGAGCATCCCATTTGCTTCTCAAATGGCGAGATAACCAGAGAAGCTGTGGCTGCCCCATCCCTGGAACTGTTCAAGGCCAGGCTGGATGGGGCTTGGAGAAACCTGGGATAGTGGAAGGTATCTTTGCCCATGGCAGGGGGATGGAATTAGACTGTCTCTTAAGATGTCTTCCAACCCAGACCATTCCATGATTCCATGATAACAGAGGACTTAAGCCAAGCTGTCTGTAGCCAGCCAGAGCTGGGGGGTGACAGAAGCATCACAAACACTTATTTTTGCTCTGACCATTCCCCAAAAGAGCTGGCGCTTGTCTTCTCCACGCCTATTCCAGCAGGACGGAAGGGATGGCCTGACCCACCGTGTCTGGCCACCCCAGGCCAGAGCAGCGAGGACCCCACTGACCTGCCAGTGGCCCTGCCTGACGGCGCTGAAGAGCGGGACGACGCCGCGGCGGTTGGGCTGTGCCACGGCGGCGCCCTGCTCCAGGAGCAGCCGGCACACCTCCAGCTTCCCGCGCCCCGCCGCCGCCGTCAGAGCTGCACGAGAGAGGAGAGCAGTCAGGGGAGCGGCCACACGCCCAGTGCAGCGCTCTGCTAGCCACAAACGGGGCTTCCTGCTGGATGCCAAAGCCATGGGGACCGAAATGCCAAACCGATCTTACGGCAGGGAAAACGAACAAAGAAAATGGGCCGGATCGGTACAGTGTCAACTCCTGTCATTTTAGTTACCTCAAAGGTCAACTCTTCTAGAAAAGTTTACGTAATGTCATCGAACGAGGCTGCTTGGGACAATCAGCTCTTATTGTTTTCTGCAAGTCACAGTGAAATGGGATGAGAACCTCAGCAAGGATAAAATAATCTACAGGAACTTGCAACTGAGGCTCAAGGGGTGTCCTGAGGTTAAAGTTGTGACTGAGGTTAAAGTTGTGACTGAGGTTTAGCTACAAAGAAATGTGATCACGAATGTGTTTCTGCTTTCCCTGCTGCCAAAGCCATGGGCTGTGAGGTGACTGTATCTGAGTAGGGACACAGTATCCAGAGAAAATACAGGTCTTCAGGTACTTGAGGAGACCTTCTGCAGCCTGTCATTGCCTCATCCCACCATGACTACAAGGGAGCAAGTGAGGGATCAAGAAGGAGGCACTGACGGATCCTGCTAGCCACTGATGTCAGTCACATTTGTGGCTTTCCTTTGTCCAAACAAGCACAGAGCAGCGTAGTCCAGATGGAGGACTTCTATTTTCCATATCCCACTTTAGTCTGTAGATCTTTGAAACCAGGGAAACAACTGGAAAGCAAAATAAAATTGATTTGTTCACCTGTTTTCCAAGAAGAACACGACTTCTGGGCTTTGTTTTTGGCCAAGGCAGATCCTACCAGCCAGGGAATTTGTGTAAACCCAAAAATATCTTTCATTTTCATATGCTCATGATATTACAGGTGGGGAGAAGCAACACCTGAGAGCTCTCTCCCTGACAAAATGTGCTGTTAACTCAGGAGTGTGGTTGAGTTAGAGACCACACATTCAATCTGAAAATAGTTCCAAGTTCAGGACCTGCCAGTGACTTGTCTCAGTATTAATTTTAGACTTTCTGGTTCCTCCCTCTCCCTAACTTTCTGTGCACTTCAGCACTGGCTCCACGTTCTGCTGCTTCTGGTAGGAGTTGGAGCAGAAGGTGGGAGTCTATTTCTGACTGATGTCGCTTGTTTTTTCTTTGAAGTACATTTCTGTGGGTTGGCTGATTACAAGGTGTTGATGGGTTTCCAACTGCAACACTGTTAATGTTGAGGGATTTAATTAATTCTCAATTCTCTTCCATATTGTGGCTGAATTTTCTTCTCTTGGGGCTGAGAGACACCAAGAGTTAAAAGAAAAATCATTTTGCTGCCAGAAGCAGAACATTCTGCAAAATCTATAATCAGATCCATGTGGGTTTTAAACGTAAGCTATAAATATAGAAGGAGGCAGAGGGATTGGCATGCAGGGCTGCTGGGTTCTACTTCTAAACCTGCCTGCACTTGAAATGTTGCAAGTTAATTTGAGGTATTTTACATCAAAATTACTTATGTTTGCAACAATGAAAATATTGTAAATCACTCCAGTGTTTGGTGTTTGTTAGGAAATATTCTTGAGAGAAGACTTTAGTGAAACAGGATGATTTGATCCACGATTTCTCTACTTTCCCTTGCAATCCCTTCTGCCTGCAGTGACACTCTTTCTGCTGCTGTTCCTCAGGGTCCAAGCAACTGGTGTGGGTACGTGGCTCCAGCCTGTCCTTGGCAGCTCCAGCTCAAGAGAAGCTCAAAAGCTTCTGAGCAGGCAGACCTTGCTCGTCCAGGAGGAACTAAGGAGGATGAAAATGGGCTGGTTTGAAGGTTTGCTGTCGGCTGGAGAGCTCCCATGGCCCAGCACAACCAAGGTGGGTCCACTGAGCCCAGCCACGGAGCAGCAACCAGGCTCCTGTGCTGATAAACAGCAATGTTCATTTTGCAGCTTCTCCATGAGGACTAGTGCCAGAAGGACTACTCACCGTGCATTAACCAAATCTTGGCACAAACACCACACAACAACTGGTGTCCTTCTCAAAACAGCCCAAACAGAACCTGAGACTGGGTTCAGGTGTGAATGTGCTCATCTCCGACCAGTGAACAATGTGAAACCACCTCCCTGTTGCAGGGATCTGCAACAGTGTTATTCTGCTTCTGCTGCTGTATTGTCTTGTAGAAAAACAACTTTATCTGGAGAAGGAATCATTGAACTGCTCCCATCCTGCACATGTATCTGTTTCACAGCCCGGCAGCAAGACAAACAGTTTGATGGGAGATGTTTCTTGCACCTCCATCTCTTCTGGAGATAACATAAGTGACTCAGACACTTTTCTGCTGGGTTTTGGTATTAGTTTTGTCCCGGGGGAAATACTCCATCTGGAGTTGGCTATAGTGTGCTGTCAGCAATTCCTAAACTTATGATGTCACTTGGCACTGCCATTTGGATGATATCAGGCTGATATCATCGAGCCAGGCACTCGGCTCTGCTCTGGAAGACGAGACATGAGAACGAGAATCAAAACCCAGACAAGCCAGGATTCAGATTTTCAGAGCAGATAACTATTTTTAGGTGGAAACCTGCATTTCTCTCCAAATTTATTTAAACTCTCTTTTACTTTTGGGAAAATAATAATAGTAATACAGTTATGTGAAAGAGAGTCTTGAGTTTCATATGAACTTACAGACTTGTTTCATGTAGACAAAAGACTGCTCAGTTTGATGGTTGGCTCATTTTTGTTCATTTTCCCATCTTACCTACTACCAATTTTAATGTGTAAGTGCATAGTCCTTTGAGATGGCTCCCCAGTTTGTGTATGATTTGTCAATCACAAATCCACGTTCCCAATTGTCCCAGTTACTCAGAACCCCCTCTCTGATAGAGAAATTCCCAGATGTCTGTTTAGTCCAGCTTTTGGCATTTTTGGGGGCAGAGGTGTGGGACAACAGAGATGGAAACAGGCAGGCTGGGAATATCAGAGCTACCTGTTGGGAAGGGAAGGGAAGCTACAGCTTCTACAGAAATCACCTGTCTCTCCCCAAAGGCTGTCAAAGCTGTTGATCTGTGCTCTCTCCACCTCCTCTTCATCTTTCTCTGGAAGATCGAGCAGGTAGGAGACGATCTAAAACAAAATGATGTGTCAGATCATGAACTGGAATGTGTTATACAGGAACTGCTGACACCATCACACGAGCTGCCTGGAATACACAGAGGGGAGGGAGGGAGCAGCCTCTGCCTGGCACCCTGAGATCAAGGAAATGTTTTTCCTGAGATTAATCACTGAACCTGCTGCCCTGTACAAACAAAAAAACCCAGCCAAGTGTCTTGATATGATGGCACATGATGAGACTTGGTAAGGGTCAGTTCTGTGTAACTGTGTCTGTTCTGTTGGAGATGACCTGGTGTGTGCAGTGGATGCAGCTCCTGGAGGAGGTGAGGCTGAGAGGAGGTATCTGGTAGGAAAGAAACTCATTCTGAAGAAAAGGAGAAGGAACAGGGGCTGCCATGGGTCGCTGGGCCTCTGTGGGTGGGACCAATGTCAGTGGTGGGCCTGGCACTGGGTTAATGGCTGGACTCAGTGACCTTAATGGTCTTTTCCAACCTAAATTATTCTATATATCATTTTCCCCATCATAAATCGGTGTCAGGATGGCAGGAGGAAGCTCTCTGGCTCTTCTGTCCCTTGACACACAGTCCAGAGCTGTGTTCTCACACGCCCCACCTGCACTGGAGGAGCAGGGTAGGCAACGTGCGTCCATCCCCCTCATCCCTGCTGAAAAGTTTATTCCAAAACTTCATTCTGACAACTCAAAGGCTTGTTATGCTTCCTCTCCTGGATGTCTGCCCAGACCACAGGGGTCTGTGAACGCTGGGATGGGACAGGGAGGAAGAGCAGGACAGGAGTGCTCTGCACTCCACCTCCAGAGGTTCTTTGGTGCGTGGGCAGGAAAGGGCCAAGCCCAGGGTCCCTCCCTGCAGAGGCAGAGCAGCTCCTACCTCGGTGTAGCCCATGCTGGCAGCAGCAATCAGGGCCTGCTGGATGGCGTGGCTCTTCTTGAACACCCCCTGCTGCTGCCCAGCCATGCTCCAGTCACACTGGATCAAGAACTTCACCACCTCCAAGTGTCCCCTGAGAGCAGCGTGCACCAGGGCACACTGCCCGTTTTTGTCCAAATGATCCACCTTGAAAAGAGATGAAAAAATACAATTAAGCCAAATCATGAGCATCACATCTTTACTTCTTCAGAGTTTCCAATCCTGGCTTCAAAATAACGCCACATGTGCAAAATGTGCATTTTCCTGGTAAACTATCACTTCCATGACCAGAAAACAAACATTTCCAAAGCAAGGTCCCAGGCTCTGGCATTATCTTGGCCACAAATGTTTGCTTTGGGGAAGATATAATTACTTTTTTTAGGTTCCTTCAGTTTTCTTCAGACTCAAAGACTCCAAAAATATTTTTTCCTTTGTGTCCTGAAGTCCAACATAAAAATTTTCTTGTGCATTGAAATCATACACACTGGTATCTCCTTTAGCCATATCTACAAGAGTAAAACCAGTTTGTTTTCCAGGTATCAGTTCTTTTGAGAGCCCCAGAAGTGCCTCAGCCTGCAGTCAGACACTGTAACATGAACCCAGTGCAGGCACAATCAGTAGGAATTAGACACAGTGCTTGATAGTCCTGGAGGAACTTATTTGGCTGTATTTTGGGGCATGGTTTCCACTTGATGCCTGAATACATCAGCTGGGATTTCTAGCTACTATCCCAACAGGGATAATTGGAGAACACAAGGAAGGCAGGACAGTTATCATCCTCCTGCTGGCTAACCCTTTCTGTGCTCTGTATAATAGAAATAATTATTATATTAACATAGCTTTACTAATATTAATTCATAGAATTAATAGGGACACCTCCAACTACCCCAGGGTGCTCCAAGCCCCGTCCAACCTGGCCCTGGGGTGGGGTAGCCAGGGCCTGACCACTAGATTACAGTTATATAATACATATGAGAAATATTTCATATATTATAACACATCTACATTAATGATATATCAAATTTCTCCTTTCTCAACTCCTGCACTAATCAGTACTGTAATTTTCTGCAAATATCTCAGTCCTCAAGCTACACCAAACTGTGTTTTGGGTATTTCCTCAGTACTGTTAGGGATATTCAAGGAAAACTACGAGTGGCAGGATTTCTGTCACTAAACTCTCTCAAAATATCCAACAAAAGCATAATTCTTTTTTTCTTTCATACCATCCTCACATTATTACAGACAACACAACCCAGCAAGATCTAAACAGTCCCTCAATCATCCTGACATCCATACCAAAACTACACAAACCCCTATTTTGCCTTTTGAACTGAAATTAAAGATACAGAGAAACCACAAATTGTTTCCAGGAGGCTCCACTTCAAAAAATCAGCATAATTTTCTTCTTCAACAAAGTATTTCAACTTGACTTATTATATACAATTAAAACTCCAAACACTCATCACAAAGCTAAACAAAGAGAATTTTTCTAGGACAAATCTGATGAAAAATTTTGGAAAATGTGTCTCAGGGAGGTATTTAAAGAATGTTTTGCACTGAAAAAGCAGTGTTGCCATTTTAACCTTGCGAGGTTCAAGGACTGCTCCAGAACATCCTTCTGCAGGTCACAAGGCAGCCCCTACCCCAGACCTGAATTCCAGACACCAATCGCTGACTCTCAGGGGCTGCTGCCAATGCGGGACTTTCAAAGCCACTACATTTTAGCAGAAAAAAACAGCACCAAAAGCAGGAGGACGTTCCCTGGCAAGCGCTCCACGTGCTGCCTGCAGGTGCCCGGCAGCCCTGAGCAAAGGAGCTGCAGTTTGGCGAGCTCCGGGGCCCTGGGGCTCCCTTACCTTGGCCCGTTTCTTGCACAGCAGCACCACGATGCTCAGGAAGCCCGCGGCAGCCGCGTAGCCCAGCGGGGTCAGCCCGCTCTCCGAGGCTGCGTCCACGTTGGCCCCAAACTCCAGCAGCAGAGCCACCATCTCAGCGTAGCCCAGGTGAGACTGCACGCACAGAACGGGGGCGTTGTTCAGAACTTCCGTCCGGTAATTCACATTTGCGCCTCCCAAAATCAGCAAGCGACTGACCTGTGCAGGGAGGCAGGAAGGAGAGCTGAGAAAGGAGCAGGGCCCTCGGCACGCCTCCAAGCGAACAGCAAAGGACAAAAAACGCCGAGCAGAACCATGTGCCCCTGAGCTGGTCCCCTCTGGTGCAGGTGGAGCAGTTTAAGCAGCTCCCAGGTGGTCAGGAAGTGCTGTGAAGGGTGCAGCCACGGCTCCAGTGAATACTCTGCACGGTCACCGCCCATTGCTGGAGCTTCTTGTGTGAATTCTGAACCCCCAGCTCTCCCCCTCCAGTACCTTTATGTTCGGGGTGTAGAGATTCCTCAGAGATGCCAAAGCCATTGAAAGACCTTCAGTACTGTAGGAGATCCAAAGCCCTTGCAGGATGGAGGAAGATACTCCAACTTTTTTACTCAGACCCTGAAAGAGAGAAAGGAACTTAAATCCACGCTTACAAATCTGGTCAGTTACACTGGGCAGATCCTCCTGGGTCTCTGGACTTCAAAGGAGTTTCAGGACAATAATGACTACACACAAGATAATGTGATATACTTGCTGTATCTGACCTTCACAATCAATTAATTAAGCTTGCAGAAAACTACTTGTAAAGGTAATGTAGCCATCTCCAAGGTCTAGGAACGGCAGGATTTAACTGTGGGTAACCAGATCCATTCAACACCTTCACAAAATTCCACGTTAAGGAGCGCAGATTGCTGCTTCTTTTCTTTTTAAAGTACATAGTATCTGCTCACAATAAGATAAATTCAGGAACTTTCAATCACAGCCTGCAGCAGTATACCCTGGTATCTTGTACCAGATTGTCTCTAACTTTTTTAGTTGTCCATGATCAGGTTATACATAATATATTGAAGGTCTGACATATTTTCCATCCCTAACTGGCAGTTAAGCAGGTTTCTCCCTCCAGTGGAAGGAGCCATAATTTCCCCATAGCTGACAGATGGGAGCCAAGAGCTGGGTGGATGAGCAGAGGGGTGGGAGGGAGACTCCAGCAGAGCCCTGCCATGAGCATGCCCTGAATGCTGCCATGCTGCTCCTGATTGCCCATGAACGCCTGCTGATTCCATGGAAACTGCACAGGCATCTTTAACTGCATATTTAAATCTGTTTTGATATGCAAACTCTGATTCCTGCTTTCTTGCAGGCCAGGTGGTCACTTCCACCCCTGCAACACAGCAGGTCTGGTTTGTGTGACTGGGACTGGGATGATGCTGGTGGAACAAAACCAGCAGCACGAGGTGGGATTTCTCTGAAGGAAGATGTGTGGGAATCATCATCATCCCAACCTGTGCCTGGACTCAGCTGCAACCTCTAATTCCAGTGTGTGAAAGGTAATCTGCAGCATCGCCATAGCCATCAACAGATTTGTCACTTGCAACGGTTTTATCACCAAAAAAAGCAATAGATTAGACAAGCTCTTATAAATAACAGCTCCACGTACTTGTTTCCTTAAAACTCAGGGAGCTAAACCAAGAAAAAGACCTACTTGTGTTGAGGGAAAAAGAGCTCAGGCTTTTGAGCCACTGTTAAATGCTGCTTTTGAAATGACACAGTGAAGGACATCAGAGGTCAATATTAAATTTCATGAACTCAGGATGGTGGAATTGGAAAGGGAAAGCTATTTTATAAGAAACTGTTAAAATAATGTAAAAATAGTTATACTACTATCAAGCCCACAAATAAGCTCCCTGAATCACCATCAGAACCAAGGAAAAGGGTAGATACTTTGAGAATAGCCCTCTGAAGATAATCACAGATGCTACAGAAATCTTAACTGTTGCATTAGAATATGTATATACTTAGATATTAGTGCAAGACATGAAAGGTGACATTTATCCTTTCAAGAAAAAGTGCACTCAACACCATTATCATTCAGTTACCATTCAGGCAAAAGCCTGCCCTATTTCCCATTTTCCAGATCACATCTTACTTTTCTAAATCCCTCTTCAGAACTGTGGAGCAGAGTGAGTCCTTCAGCAAAAACAAATCCCAGCTTCTTACAACATCAACCAAAATGCCATCAGGGGTTCCCACTTCACTGGGCCCATCCAACACGAGACCAGTGTATGGCCTGACAGTTTGAACAATTTTGCCAGCCCCCACAACCCCAGCGTTCAAACAGTTGTTTTTTCCCGTCCTGTCTTGTATGCAAGCTGTCAGCATCTTTAATTTTTACCTGATGGCCTCCTCTGCTGTTTGGCCATCAGCACCATACAGAATCCCAGAATTCCAGACTGGCTTGGGTTAGAAGGAACCTCAAAGCCCATCTCATTCCATCCCCCTGACACCTTCCACCACACCAGGCAGCTCCAACCATCACCTGCTTCTGTATTACTGACATTTTAACTAATCTAAGATGAAATTAAAGCCTTCTCTTTGGCTGATTTGCAAAACATATCTCAGCCTGAAGTTTGGGTCCTTTTGTATCACAACTGCACATTTCTCTTTGTGCCCTTTTATTCCGTGTCAGGCTTTTCAAGTTGGCTTTCTATATGCTCCTGTTAAGACTGGCAGCTGATTTAAAAGACTAAAACATTTGTACTTTTCCTTTTTTTCCCCCCCTGAACGGTTTGAGGATGTTTGTGTTTAAAAGGTAAGACAAAACTATCATATCTTAGCCAGCAAATGAAGATGGGAATGTGAAAATGTCTTCCCACTCACATGTCAGGTCAGCACTTTGTGTCTGTGCATCACTTGCTTTTTTTGCACTTGGAAATTCCAAGAGTTCTATCATCACCTTGCTAAGATATCAGTGGATTCAAACTAGGAAGGATTGGAGAAGGATAAATACATTTTTTGCTCTGTTTTATCAAAGTTTGCCTCTATACCCAGCTCTCAGTACTCTCTGGCTGGACAAAATGCTTTAGCTCTAGTCTAATATTCTCCTGGCTTCCTGATGGGTACATAAAATGAAATTATAATGGCACCAGGCCTCCATAAATATCTTCAAAATTAGGATCTTAGTGTCTGCAGAAAGATCTTTGTGTCTGCTGCTGTAACATGGCAACTTGAGGAAAAACACCCTGAATTGATGACCTGACATGCTCCCTACTTGGCAGAACGCCCATGGCCACACTGGTAATGGCTTCAGCAAAAGATCAGCCCGAATGAAAAGCCTGAATGGGAAAAATGCTTGTTTAGAAACAAATACAGGCAGTAACAACTGGCAAAGAATCTGTGCATGTACTCTTGGAAATATTGTCTTTAAATTCTTTAAAGAACGCTCGAGCCCTTAAATATGGTCTGCAATATTCCAGCCCACTGCCTCCTTCAGAAACCAATGCAGCTCTTGTTTCACTCCGTAAACACTCACAAATTCTCAGTAAACACTTGTTAAAATAAGCAATGAAAATAAATCTATTCAAGGAAAAGCAAAATACTAAGTTACAATTCCTAATCCAGCTAATTCAAACCCTTTCAAAACTTTGTAGTACTTGTAAACAACATTTTGTTATGCTTTATCTGTCGCTGTGACATTGGTCATCTTGCAGTGTTGTAAACCCAAGGATTTTGCTGAGTGATGAGGAACAGAAGGCTGGAGTGACATTTGTCACATGCTAACTGGCATTTTCTACTATTGTAAATATCACTCAATTAAACCTGGAATCTATTGGAAACTTATTCACCTAATGACAATTGTCATTTGCTCAGAGTCTGAATCTCTGTTATTGGTTCCTACTATGGACATGTGAAATAAAGGTTTGGAACCAGATTCAGATGTAAAAGGCAGCTGAACAGTAAACTCAGGGCTGAATTTGGCTTTGGCAATGTAACTGGAAATGTGGAATTGATGCCCTGAGGGCTAATGCTCCAATCTGGGCTCTTCCCTTTGGCTCCAGCCATCGTCTTCCCAAACAAGGAGACTTTGCTGCTTCACCTGGTGGTCAATCTGGCATAGGAAATACAATAAATAAATGCAACAGGACTGACACAAGGCAGAAATCATGTTTACTCTAGGAACAGAAACCTGAGTGCCAAAGCCCTCAAGTCTTCAAAATCATACAGAGACCAGATGAAAATACAGCTTTGTTTTTGCTAGTGTTAAGCACCCACAGGTCCTAACAGTTGTAAGAAAGTCTGAATTTCCTGTGACCTTACAAATCCACCCTCTCATTCCCACCTTCTGGTGCCTGGGCCAGCAGGAAGAATGCTACTCAGTTTATGGGTCATGTTGATACTCACATCCAAGTTTGCCTTTCAGTTACCCAGGTCTTAAATGTCTGTGTGAAGAGTAAGATGGACCAATCAGCCAATTTCAACAACCATCAGGTTTTCCTGTTAAAACCTAAATTTTGCATTAGATTCTTCAAAACTGCCCCATTTAAAAGATTGCCTTTTTTCTAGATGCTGCTACAGGAACTCATCTTTCAGGGCAAGAAGCATTTTATGGCAGAGGAGCAATTTTAGGTAAGGAGGCTATCTGCTGAATTTACAGTCTGAAGGAGGGTTTAATTTTAAGGATTTCTTAGATACCACAGCCAATTTTCTAAAGCTCACTTCCACACCCTTCAGCAGCCTCAAGCACTCACACTTCTGACACCAACCCCACCACAAGACAGACTGAGTGCTGCCAGTGCTGCGGGTGAGGCTGGTGTAAACCTTCACTTGAATTGCTGTTACCTTAAAAATATGTGCTTTGAGAATGTGATGTCCCAGTTCAATGGTTTGCTGTCTATTTAATTTTCCTTCTTGTCGGGAAAACCAGAAGGCAAGTAGTGTATGGCCACTCCTAAAATCAGAAAAAAAAAGTATGTTATTATTTGTTATTACACCAACAAAACAACTTTTGAGGACAAAAATCCTAATCCTTCAACCACATCCAGCTTTGGGAAACAGAGCTGGCTGAATTCTCACTTGTAAACCAACAACTAATTGCACCCTTTATTACTGGTGATCACTGACAGCTGAAAACCCCCCAGACATCAGCAGACAGCAAACAAAACTTCAAATCTATTTTCAATGAGCAGATGTAAATTTATACACACCAGAGTGCAATGTCACAAAAGTGGAAGTGTTACTTTTATAGTTATTTTGCAGAGGAGAACCATATTTGCAAAGTGTGTAACTAACCTGAAGTCACTAGAAAATGCCATATTGAAAATATCCACACTTTGAAGAAAATGTCCTTTAAATGACACCTGCACTCACTACCCTGTGTGAAACAACTTTATTTCTTTGTAAAACTCCCTCTAAACACCTTCCTCAGCTTTTCCAGTAATAAAGATGCTTCTGGCAATGCCCTGCAGATTGACAACCACAGCAAATTAACTAAACTACACAAGTTCTGTTTAAGGCAAAAATATAATAAAGCAGACAATAACTTCTGTTTGTAAAGGTGATTTTTACTGACATTTTTAAACCTTTAAACACTTATATATTTTCATGTTGTAACACTGCAAGTTCAACACGGCTGAATCTTGTCAAAGATGCGAGAAGATGATTCTCCAGAGACACACGGAACACACATGATGCTGAAGTGTGAAGTTTTAATACCATTCCTGTTCAGATCAGCAAATACCTGCTCCTGCAGGTGCCCCAGCACACGTGGATGCCACAGCAGGAGATGCAGCGAGCAGGGCAGGAGCCAGAGATGCTCCATGCTGCGACCTCAGAGGTCTGTGTGATTTTTTTTTTTGGTTTTACCAACAAAATTATATTCTTCCTTAAGCCCCTGGCTGCTCCCAAGGGAGTCTTTTTAAGCCACTTCATTTCTGGAAGTACATAAAAATGTGACTGCACTAAAAGCAATCAAACCCCTTCCAGCCAAGGAAAATAAAATATGATATCAGCTGTGGCTTTAAAAGGGCTTTTAAGGACAGGAAATGTTATTAGCTCATCCCTGTCTGGTAAAGCAAAGAAATACTTTGGATGGCCAAAGATCTAGTAAATATTACACAAGACAGAAGCTTTCACAGCACAGGGGATTTACCAGTTCATCCCCATTCAGGGTGAATTACTGTCCATCTCAAAATAAACTCAGAAAAAAAAGTGAATGACTTGTAATGCCCTGGTTGGGTTTTTTGGCAAGGTGCCCCCTGCACCCTGGCAATGAACCTCCTTTTGGACTGGGAACACATGGATTTGTGTGAGCAGAGCCCAGTGATGCTCTGTCAGCCCTCATGGTGCTGGGAGGACAGGAATGTGCTGGCTGGAGGAGTAGGATGAAAAACAAAACATAGGTTTTTATTGACTGACAGTGCTTTCACTCTTAGGGTGACTTGGCCATAAAAAGAAATTGAAGAAATCTCTCTTTTTTTGCCTGTCAAGCTGCTCTCCACACCTTGGCCTGGCACACGGCCCGTGCTGGGATCCCACTGCTCCAAGCTTCCCCTGACTGGAGGAAAAGCCTCTCCAGATGGTGACTCTGCCCAGCACAACACAGCTTTGGTGCTGAAAATCCACCACAATGCCCCAGTGCACAGGGCAGTGCCTCCAATCCCATGCCCCTGTGCTATGAGAATTCTCCATAAAGCATCAACAGAAGGGACAAAACAGAAAAAGCTGGAACAGAAGGGCCCTGAAAGTGCTTAACAGCACCTTGAGTTAACCCCAGCTTGTTGCCTTGCCTTCCTTTGGCTCTCCCCCTCTTTGGAATGGGAGAGAACATCAGGTCTCCTGTTAGAGGAGAGAGATAAATGCTTTTGTCATTACACTGCTTAATCTCTGGGAATGTCCATGAGAAGGAAGGAGAAACAGATCAGAAGGAAATAAGTGTCTAGGAAACACAGCTGGAAGTCAAATGGAACAGCAGTTGCTGGATTGAACTCGGCCCCATCCAGCCAGATTATGAAAACCTGGAATTGCTGTAATACACTCAGCCCATCCCAGTAAATCATCAGATTCACAGCACTTCGATGGCTTTTGAGGGGGGCCAAGGTGTTCACCTCCACCTGGAGACTTTGGACAAGGGTCTGGAGTGACAGATCAAGGGGGAACAGCTTCCAAGTGACAGACAGCAGGTACAGATCAGACATCAGGACAACCCTGTGAGGGTGGGGAGGCCCTGGCACAGGTTTCCCTGAGAAGCTGTGGCTGCCCCATCCCTGGAAATGTCCAAGGCCAGGTTGGACTGGGTTTGGAGCAACCTGGTCTGGTGGAAAGTGTCCCTGCCCATGGCAGGGGTGGGGCTGAATGGCCTTTAAGCTCCTTTCCAACACAAACCATTCTAAGGTTTCTGATTCCACGATTCACAGCCATCAGCTCCTTCCCTTTCTGGGGAGATCCCCAGGCAGGGGATCAGGAGCTGCCCCTTCTGCTCCAGACTGTGCCCAAGGACTCTTCAGCCACCCCCCTCTGCCTCTGCTCCACAGCACAGCAAATCATACCAGGCTTCTGCTTGCTGGTGAAGAACTCTTGCACAATGTTTAGGAAGGCTCTGAACGGATTTGTAACTGCATTAATCCTAAGCATGAATTGAAAATCCAGAAGCTTCTGAGGTGCCTGTTCTTTGCAGCAAGAGCTGAAGTGCAGCTCCCACCTGACACACCAGTCCAGCTTCCACAGTCAGCTCCTAAATTGCTTTTCAGCTGCAGTTGGAAGGGTATTTACCTCCATTTAATTACAGACATGACTTTGGTGTTATAAATAAGGCATGTACGAACTACTCCAAATGAAGTACAGTATTCATGAGTAATATGTTACCTCTGCAATGCTTCCCAGACCTCGGCTTTTGGCTGCTTGATAAATACTTGTTCTGTCAACTTTAATTGGAAACTAAACCAGACTGCAACAGCACAGGCTTTTTTTTCTTTAATACAGCAGAGTGGCAGTAATGATTTCTACATCAAGGAGCTCAGTGAAATGATATGCTTTGAATTTCACCACTGCAGAGTTTATCATCAGAGATTTTTCCATTTTTAATGTAAGATTTCTTTTTTTTTTTTGGTAAAAAATTAATAGCCCTGCCAGCTCAACTCCTGCAGCTTTAGTCTGCTCTCTGTGCTTGGATCAACTCCTGTAATGGTCAGGAGTCTGCCTAGATGGGCACATATGTGTGTGTGTGTACGTATGTGCATGTATACAGTGTGTATATAGATACATAATTATATATGTGTAAAATATAGATATTAAAAATTAAAAATTTATTTATTTAGTTAGTTAGTTATGTAAAAAAGACACAAAAATTAGTCTCTAATCATTCCAACATCCTACACAGCACAAACAAGGGCACACCTACAGCAGCTCCAAGAGAAGAGAGCCTTCTAAGAGAAGGCTGCACATGAGGTTGTGTGGAATTATAGAATGGTTTGGGTTGGAAGGGACCTTAAAGTCCATGCAGTCCAACCCCCTGCCATGGCAGGGACACCTCCCACTGTCCCAGGCTGCTCCAAGCCCTGCCCAGCCTGGCCTGGGACAATTCCAGGGATCCAGGGGCAGCCACAGCTGCTCTGGGCACCTGTGCCAGGGCCTGCCCACCCGCTCAGGAAAGAATATTTTCCTAATATCCAATTTAAACCGATTCCCTGTCAGTTTGAAGCCATTCCCCCTTGTCCTGTCACTCCATGCACTTCTAAACAGGTGCTGGATCTGATCTCTACACAACTGCTCCCTTATCTGCCCAAACATGAGTCACACACAGCTCTGGGTGCAGAGCAAGATGATGCAGGATGTTGGTACCTCAAGCACAGTCCCCAGGTGACCTCATTCCTCATGTCACAGATGGAAAAGGACAAAGTCTCACTGATAAAATACCACTGTGACCAAAGAGCGGTGAAGGAGAATAATTAAATACAAGAGGAAATACTAAAAGCTTCCAGATCTGTGCATCATCAAAACTCTTCCAGTTCTCAGGTAAAAAAGACTTTAAGGGATTTAAAATGATTCCAGTGTTAAGGCATTGCAGCACCAGAATAAAAGACAAACAAAAAATAAATGAGAATCAGTCCTGCTCACTTCTGAACCCACTGAAGTCCAAATTCCCTGATTTACACCCACATCTCCCTTCTTTCAACTAATCCCATGAAAACACTCCAAAATCAAGAGATTTGACACCGTGCCCAGTGAATCTGGTCTTCAAAAGATGTGTATTCACATTTTATTCAGCTCTGCCAAGTGTAGTGTCATAGCTGCAGTGCAGAGACTGATGTGTGCTCTGACAAAGCCCAGAGCCTCTCCCCTGGCACAGGGATACCTGGGGTGTCTGTCCTGCAGAAAGGCCAAGCTCAGCTCCACGAGCCCCTCTGGAAGGAACAGTTTATCCCTCAAATTGATTTATTGATTTTTTTCTAATGGAGTTTCCCTCTGATGTTATAATTGCAAATTGACTTGGAACGAATTCACATTATTAAAAAGAATTCAAACAAAATAGTCAAGGCTACTCTTTGCTGCATTTCTGGAAGATGATTTCACTCTAAAAGTGGGTTGTAATATTTGAGGAATAAAATAACAGGACGAAATTCAGTAACATTTCTTTCTTTGATCATTTTCTGGTTAACTCCTCTCTTCTTGGTGGCTCAGTGCCACAGGATGGCTTATTCTGTGAATATTTTCTTCCATTTAGATGTGAAAATGGCCCAGCAGACAGAAGTTTTAAGTCCAGAAGAAAAGAAAAAGAGCAGATTTTATGAGGACAGTAACTTAAGATACTAAATATATTCAATCCCCCGCTGCATCCCAGTGCTGAGGTTTGCATGTCTAATGAGCCAGTTAAAACGAGCTGCTCTCCTGATGTCCTTTCTGGTGGCAGTGATCACATCTGCTCTCCACCTCATCTGTTACCATTTAGGATCT